GTTATTGGCCAAAAATGTCCTCTGATGTTGTTGATTGGTGCAGGTCATGTGAGCGATGCCAAGTGGCAAAAGATACTCGGCCTACTGCTCGGACCTATATGGGCCATTTGTTAGCGTCACGACCCAATGAGATCCTTGCCATGGACTTCACAGTCCTAGAGCCTTCTCAAGATGGCCGAGAGAATGTGCTCATCTTAACTGATGTTTTTAGCAAGTACACCCTGGCCATACCAACCAGAGATCAACGTGCCTCTACTGTGGCCCATGTCCTGGTGACGGAGTGGTTTTCGAAGTTTGGTGTACCAGCCCGTGTTCACTCAGACCAGGGGCGTAATTTTGAAAGTTCCCTTATCCAGCAACTCTGTCAATTCTATGGCATCAAGAAGTCCAGGACCACACCGTACCACCCTGCTGGAAATGGACAATGTGAAAGGTTTAATCGTACGCTTCATAACCTGTTGCGTACCCTCCCCACCACCAGCAAGAGAGCATGGACTGCTTATTTGCCACAAGTTGTCTTTTGTTATAACACCACACCACATCAGAGCACTGGAGAAAGTCCCTTCTTTCTGATGTTTGGCCAACAACCTAGGCTTCCTTTAGATTTTCTTCTCGGCCATGTATTGGAACCAAGTGCTGGCAGTGTTAACAAGTGGGTTGCAGAGCACCAGATGCGCTTGAAACTGGCTTTTGAGGAAGCAAGGGAGAAGCTGAAGACTGCTGCAGATAGGAGAAAGAGAAATAATGACCAGCATGTTCAAGACTCTCCTCTGCATGAAGGCCAACTTGTCCTACTTCGAAACACCAGTCACCAGGGAAGCACCTGGAGTGACACTCGCTGCTGTTTTGCCTACTTATAAATTGTTTTAAAATACTAATCTGCACTTTCTCTGGGGATAAAGTGCAACATTGTAAGGCTATTGTATTGTTTTACTTGTATTGTTTTCTTGTCTGTCTTTTAGGGACTGAGGCTTCTGTGGTGGCGGTGTCTTGTGTGTTTTGTTGGAGCACCTTTTTCTTTCTTTGTTTGCTGTGTTTTTGTAGTGTCCAGGGTGGTCCCCTTTTTCTGCACTGGATGTTGCCCCTTCCCTCACTACTTCCCCCATCGGTAAGCCTCAGTTTCCTTTGAAATTTAGACATTTTTATTATCTTGTCAAATGCATTCACTGTTTTAACTATTCAATTTCAGATTATTGGGAATTTAAAAGATATTTTGAAGTTTAATAAATTTTGTAGAACTTTCTGAATCTTGTCTCCTCATTTCCAGTAGAACTTACCTGTGTCCTTACTACATCATATTTTCCTGGATTTATTCCAGGTGGCGTTGTTGGTCATCGTAACCTTTAATATTTTATATTTGGGTTCATACAAAGAAAATTCACCCCCCAGGTTGCCACATTAGCATTACAAAAATCTTGCCTTAGTATCCCAACATATAGT